TTTTTTTGAAATATTATTAATTCGAGATAAAAGTAGTATATATTAAATAATACATTTTAAAAAAATATTATATTACATTTCGAAAGAATTACAAATATTAGTGATTTAATTTAATGACTTTATATGAAAAATAATATGTTAATTACAAAATAATAGAAATAATAATAAAAGAAAACAGAGAGTGTGACTACTATTCAACTCTCTATAAATGGATAATAAAGAGTGAAATAGAAGGTGATTGGAGAGCTCATTCTGTATTTACTCTTCAAATATAAAGAATAGAAAATAAAATAAAGATGAGTTGGAGATGGTATTAAAGTCGATTCATTTGCCAAGCAATGAAAGACATCGTACAAGTATGATTTGATATATATGTAAGACATATAGTACAAAGTTTTTTCTTGATGGACATACTTTTGATGTATGCCTGCAATACGATGGGTTGCAAGATATGCACCATTACCTTAGATATTGTAAACAAAGATTAATTCTAAATATCTCGAAAGGTCATTCAACTTTGAGAAATTATCTTGTAAAGTTATTCAATTTTGTTTTGTATAAAAGAAATCACTCAACTTTGAGTTTTTCTTTATAAAATCACTCGATCAAATTACCATTAATTGTTTTTCCTCAAATCTCAATCCTTTATATGTTTTTCTTCTTTTCTTTTATTATTTCTTTTGTAATATTTACAAAAAAAATTACTCCCTTCTCAATTTTTTTTTTATAATTATGAATTGACGGATCATACGTAAGATATGAATAATTTTTTTAAATTTTATTGGTGAAATTATATTTTAGTATAATACGAACAAAATAAATGTGATGAAAAGAAAAATGATTTCATCACCGTCATTATTTATTGTCATTAGGTCCCTCAATAAAGTGGTGGTTATTAGCACCAAAGGAAATAACCGCAATTAACAATAAAATCGTCTTCATGAAGAATTCTCCAACAAGGTTTCTCTCAAGTCAAGATCTTGTCTTCAGCCTGCTCTGTTTTAAACACAATACTTTTTTCAAAAAATAAATAGAAATAGCCTCCCCGTATCTTTATGTTTCTAGCCTTAAATCCCGTATCCATATTTAGTGAATTATTAGGTATAACACACTCTCAAGAAATTATTTTTAAAGATAAAAATTAAAGATTACTTTTTTACTATTATTTTTTTGATTATTTATAAATTATTCTTTTAAAAATTGTAAAATAGTTAAGAATCTTATTAAAAGAAATGGTAAATATGGAAAAAAAAAGTTTCAACAATTCTCTTGAACTTTGAAAAATTCAGTTATTTTGAATCATGAAAAAAGTCCCAACAATTCACTTAATATGAACTAGAGAGTATATTCAACTAGTAGCTACAATTGTTTTGGTTGACTTTTCTCAGTTAGTTTTGATTTATACCATTGATAATTTTATAGTTTAGATTTTTGCATGATTTAGTTATTAAATGATATGTAATTTAATTTTTAAATTTGGGTGCACTGACTCATCAGTAAAATAAATAAATTGTGCACCCACTCCGTTAAAAGAATTTTATTTACTTTTTAAAGTTTGAACGCCCTTGACGAAATTTCTGGTCTCACTATTCTCAAATAGAACAAAGCATAAGGTAAGGAACGATAGAGTCCGCGGGGATGACAAACATCTTCCTCTCAAAAATTCTTTGACAAGCTTCAGAAATAGGAGAAAAAGAAGAGCAATCACAGTGTATCTACACAAGTGTAGAAGCAAAGAGTGAGTACCAACCAACACGGTATTCAACAAATAAACAAGGCAAAACTAGCTAGAAAACGAGTATTCTTTTCATCCCAACCGAACCTCCTCAAACTACAACTTGCATAGATATCAACCTAACCTAACGACAATTTCACAATACATAGTTCACAAGGCTTAACAACCACAATTCAAACAGATCAACCACAACTATCAAGTGCATCAATCACAATTAACAAATAGATCAATCACAAGTATCAAGTTCACAAAGATTTGGTGAATGGATAGATTTTACTTGTGTTATTCAATTATTCATTAGTTTTGGCGGTATTGGCTAATTCTATCATCTTCTTAAATTCACGTTTTATTTGCATATGTTGTTCAATTGTTCAGAAATTTAGTTCACTCTATCTATCTTGTTAAATTATTTACAAATTGGACTAGATGGGCAAATATTGACAATGATTTGGTGGATGGATAGATTTTACTTGTGTTATTCAATTGTTCATAAGTTGTGTGGACTAGCTAAACTTGATTCTTTATTATACCTATCTCGTTATATTATTTACATGATTTACCGGAATCTCCAATTTTGCTGCCTCCCATTGGAATTGTCCCCTCAACATTCAATTTCAGATACAGAGAGGTTGCAGGATACCACTTAAGGAAGGTTAGATGCTCTGGAATAGTAGGACCATCTCTTAAGTACTGATCTTTGTCTCAATTTATCTGACTTTGCAATGTTTTAGTACTATTCTTAAAAATAGTACACCTTTGTGTCTAATAAGTGGGATCCGACATGAGTAAAATGTTGATAGTGTCATTAAATATTCAAAAAAAGAACAAACATATTTCCGACCTATCACAAATAATATATCTATATCCAATAGGTTTTGAAATTTTAACATCTGTCCTAACAAGTTACTACCATTAAAGTTGATTGTGAAGTTTTATTTACTTCGGAAAAGGTTAAGGGGCCCTAATTTGATGACCACTGACCATATTGGATATGAAACTAAAAGATCAATCAAAATCTAGCTAACATAATAGAAGATGAAACAATTCAAAAAATATAAATGTTAAGGGCATATATATATTTCTGAAAAAAGGATATTGCTAAATGTTTTATTTATTACAAATAGATATATGGATCATTGTTTACCGTTCACAAAGATGAAAAATACAGATACATGCAAAAAAAAAGAAAAAAATAAACTTACTCTATTATACAATAGACACTATTAATGCCTTATTATTCATCACCTTAAATATGCAATAATATAATTACCTTAAATATAACTCAGACTTCTTTATGTCTATGTCTTTAATTATTTAGAGAGACCAAATGGAGTAGCAATTAAATAAAGATCATTCTTTCTCCTGGCTGTTAATCCTTCTGTTTCAATCGTGTCCAAATCATTTGGATTAACTCCATGAGGGACCTTCCAATCAAAGTGATAAAGTAATTGGGATAAAGGATGTGCAATATTAACTAAACCAAATAACATTCCGGGACACATTCTTCTTCCTGCACCAAATGGAATAAATTCAAAGTGATTTCCTCTAAAGTCAATACTACTATTCTCAAATCTCTCAGGTATAAAACTTTCCGAATTATGCCAATATTTGGGATCTCTACCAATCGACCATGCATTGACCAGAACTTTGGTTTTCACAGGTATTGTGTATCCATCAATCTTTGTTTCCTCTCTACATTCCCTTGGGATTAATAGAGGAGCTGGAGGGTGTAGCCTTAATGTTTCTTTGATAACGAATTGCAAGTAGTTCAACTCTTCCAAATCAGTATCATTAAATGTTTTTTTCCCATTCAATCGTTCTCTCACTTCGAGTTGTGCTTTCACCATGACACGTGGATTTTTAATTAGTTCTAAAAATGCCCAAATTAATGTTGTAGAAGCTGTTTCAGTTCCTGCTAGAAACATGTCCTACATATAAAGTTAAAGTATAAATATCGAAGTTTAGATTCATAAAACGAAATAAAATTACTTTAAAGATGCACTAGACTTACAAGTATGACTGCTTTAATGTTTTGATTTGTGATACGAGGTCCAAATTCTTCGCTCTCCATTACTCTAAGTAAAGCATCAACAAAATCTTCATTTCCAGACTCACCATTATATTTCGTACCCTTTGCTCGATTATCTCGATGATCATTAACGATTTGCTCCAAGATTTCATCAACCTTTGAGTGTGCCTTTGACAATTTGTATTTCATTCCACTGATATTATGAAGCCACTTTTGGGAAGGGAACAAATCAGTTAAGTCGAATCCTCCAATTAATGAATAAATATCTTTTACCAACATTATAAACTTATTTCGATCATGTATGATTTTTCCAGATACTGCCCTACAAGTTACAGTATTTGTAAACCAAAAAATCTTGTTGGATAAGTTGATCAATGAGTCAGGTGTACTGGAACGGAGAGATGAAATGAGATTTGATATCTCTTCTTGTCGAATTGAAGCTAATGATTTGACCATTTTTGTACTAAGAAGTTCTAGAACACAAACCTTTCGCATATTTCTCCAATAATCTCCATATGAACTAAAGCCTATGTCCGTGCAATCATAAAATATGATACTTGTGGACATAATTTGTGGCCTATCTACAAAATGGAGGTCTTGAGTTTTCATAATTTCTTTTGCCATTTCCGATGAAGATATAACAATTGTTGAAATATTCCCAAGACGTAAGTGCATGATTGGGCCATATTTTTTCGATAGATTTCTAAGTGAACGATGTGGTAGATCGCTCATTAATTGATGCAAGTTTCCTATAAAAGGTAGTCTCCATGGTCCAGGAGGCAATGTTTTGTTTGGAGATTTTGATTTTTTCCATTTTTGAGATACAAGGAAGAAAGAGGAGAGGAAGAGAACAAGTGAGATAAAGATGAAGTAGGGAAAATGCTGATACTCCATTTTGGAAGCTAAGAAAAAAGGAAACATGCACACTTATATCTTATAGAGATGACAGCATTATGTTTAGGTTTGTGTGTATATATAATACTGGTGAGGAAATAGTCAGTGCAGAGCATGTACCCAATATTAACTCATAAATTATTTGTTTGAAATAATATTCATTAAATAATTTATTTTTTTTAAATAAAAATCAACTTTATATTTGTGGTAATAGATTATCTAATTAAGTATGAAATGAATATGTGATAAATAATTTTAAATGGTGTTGATTAAATGATTGTAAATTTTTGATCCAAAATATATATATTAATTTCATTCTTCTTTTTCGAAAATTTGACGTGATGGATCCTTTTAGGATCTCCGTAATTGAAATCTTTTTCTTCATTGTTTGCCACTTTCTTTTACCTAAAATAATTATAAAATTTACTTAAATTTCAACGACACTCAAAGTAAGAAGAGCATGTTTCGCTTGGCTGAAAAAAAATAGCTTTTAAAAAGTAATTTTTAAAGTCAAACTTAAAATGACTTTTAAGTTTAAAAAAAAAAAAAAGTGAGAGATTTCTATTTTTTATTTTTAATAACTTAAATGACTTTTAAGTTAAAAAAAAATAAAAAGTGAGAGATTTCTATTTTTTATTTTTAACCTTTTAAAATTATTTTAAATCCTTTTTAACTTTGTTAAACACTTTCAAAAGCTAAAAATGACTTAAAAATAGGTTTGACCAACTTTTAAGTCAATCCAAATAGGCTCAGAAGCTATACGTAAAAAAAATTGAACTTTCAAAAGCTAAAAATGACTTAAAAATAGGTTTGATCAACTTTTAAGTCAATCCAAATAGGCTCAGAAGCTATACGTAAAAAAAACTGAATTTAACACGAAAATCGATAGACTAAATAGGTCCTATAATTTCAAAAAATTAATGACTACCTTTTTCTCTTAATAAATATAATTAAATTATAGTGAAGCAAAGAGAAACTTTTTTCCCCGAAAATATATAGGTCCTATAATTTTGAAAAATTAATGACTACCTTTTTTCTCTTCATAAATAATTAAATTATAGTAGTTAAGCAAAAAGAAACTTTTTATCCCAAAAATATGTTGAAGCTGCTTACTTTAGCAGGGGACCACATTGAAAAGAGATAAACTACATAGGAGATGCTTTTTTTTTTTTGTCTATTATGGGAAATGTTCAAGCAATATAACATATAGTACAATACAATCAAATCATAAAGCTCTCAATGATCAAAATACCCCTTAATTTATTCTTATTCCTAAGAAACACACATGTGGATGGTGTGCTGACTGCTTGGTGTGCTGACTGTCACTTATTATTATACTAGATCGGTATGGCCCGTGCCAACATGTACATGTGGATGGTGTGCTGACTGCTTGGTGTGCTGACTATCACTTATTATTATACTAGATGGGCGTAGCCCGTGCCAGCACGGGCCCAACATTTTATATTGGGTAAATTAAATAAAATTACTATTGAATTAAATTAGTTATACTAAAAATATTTCACTTAAAAAAACAAACCTTTTATTACTAAAACATGGCCATTCATCCTTTTATATCTCCAAAAATATGGCCGACGCAACAAAATCTGCTTCCTCTTGGTCCTCTCTTTTGCTTCTTCTGCCATAATAGAGTAAATAAGTACCAGTCGATGAAAGATCACCGCATCAGATATTGTACTTTATAGAAGTGTATTTAGCTGACATGGTTAATAATGACAAATCAAATTTAAGTTGTAACAATTTAGCCAAAGTACTACTCCAACCCTTAATTAAGGAGAGAAATATTTGTTTGAAATAGAGCAACACAACTATGACAATAAATTTAGCCTAAGTACTACTCCAACCCTTAATTAAGGAGAGAAATATTTGTTTGATAATAGAGCAGCAGAATTATGAACATTTTTGTCGAACAAGTACTGGAGAATGATTTTAAAGTTATACAGACCTTTTATAAGTTATCCTCAAATCTTAGACATAGCTAACTTGAGAATTGAACTCAATCGATTGTCTATTATATCCATGTAGATCAACTCCTTCTGACTTATATTATTAGTGTACCTTGAAATGAAAAGTAGAATGAGATAGAAGCAGTACAATTATTTTTCAATCTGTAGATGTAAGAATAGCATAAAATGAACAACATACTACATTTCTCTTATTCTGCTTTGTTATGATGTTGTACACTATAATAGACATTTATCAATAGGAAGAATAGGAACGGGGTTTGTGTTTGCTAACTAACTTCATTCACCATAGACTATTTATTTTTTTGATAAGATAAGTGCTATTAATAACAACATCAGGAAGATGCAAAATTTACAAGATATGACATTTGAGCTTACAAAAAATTCTCTAGCTAACTATACAAACTATCTAAGCCAGAGCTAATGAGTTAGTAAAATCCTGAAGTTGTTCTGCATTAACAGCAGGATACAAGTTGGTCCAACTAAACAAATTTTCA